AGCAGATGCTGCTGGTGCAATAAGCTGTACGTTTTACGTCCAATGGATGATGATCTGATTAGTCGACTAATCGCAAAAATAATCGGTGACTAGTCGACTATCAAAATAATCGTTTGTGGCAGCCCTACTTTGAACAGCAGGTCTATTCAACCCATTTGGCCCAACTGTAGCAAATATTACTATTATTATTATTATGCGATTACACTTGCAGTTCTTACTTGATTTCAATTCTGCAGCATGCAGTGACTTCTACAGCGAGACAAAAAGAGTCTATAACCTTCACCACCACCGAACTATCATCCGCTGTTTAACGCTTTACGAGATAAACTGGACCAGGCTTAAAAAAAGAGACTTTCATGGTTCTGTTCTGCTCGTCTTTCCTGTGCTGAGTGTTTCTCTCCTGCATCTGGAGCATTATCGTCATTATTAGTGGTGGTGCAGGGTTCATAATTAATGGTTTTCTTTAGGAAGATTAAACTGTGAAAACACCAAGTTATCAGTAAAAGAATCAACATGATATTTGATATTTCTCATATCTGCAATGTCTTCAAAGGTTTTATCAAACCTTAGTAAAAGCGCTGAAGGGGTTACTAACATTTCTTTACATCATACATTTTGGCCAAGGTGATTGGTAAATAAACACACCTGTTATGCGATCCACTGGTTCCACTGTCTCTCTCTCTCTCAGGTGGAGGACATGGAAAAGAAGTTGGACTTCCTGGTGGACATGCACATCCAGCACACTGAGCACCTGCAGGTGGACTCTGCCGGCTCTGCCCGCATGACCCTGGAGACCTGCAATCCTACGGCGAACGGTGAGATCCGACGGGTTTTCCTCAACTACGCCGAGGCGTTCCCACACATGTACCAGGTGCCTGTCAGCAAGGCGAACCCCTATTATGGCCGTGGAAGAGGAGGCAGAGAGGGGGTGGGGTTGGCAGGAGGAGTCGGCATTGCCCCTTCGGTTCATCAACCCCAACCCCCACCTTCAGCAATCATCCCCACTTACGCCGAGCGTCCCACAGTGTTGCCCATCAGCTCCCTGCAGGACTTGTCAATGGGACTGGGTAGGACCACAGGGGGGCAAGGTGGTGACTCACCGCTCTCCATGCTATCGGTTAACCACGAGGAGCTGGAGCGCTCGCCCAGTGGATTCAGCATCTCTGGGGAGCGGGAAGGGGAGAACTTCTCAATGGGGGCCGGTTTGGCGCCCGGGGACCCTGGCTGGACGAGACCCAGGCCGAGCTACCTGGCGGAGGGGGAGACGGACACAGACACAGACCCTTTCACACCAAGCGGGGGCCCCCTGCCTCTCTCCTCCACTGGTGAGGGATTCGGCGACGCTGTGTGGACCATGCCACCCTGAGAGGAAACAAATTCGGCGCAGATATCCACCACTCTGAGTTAAGATATTAAATTCAACCCAAGCCTCTAAACCCAAGCCCTGGGTCAAAGCCACCGCTGTGGACTGAACGTCTGGGGAGGTTAAGTTGGATCTTATCCGAGATAATCGACCTTCAGAGGCCACCGCAGATCTCATCACGCCGTCCGCGGTCCAGTCAGAGAGCCATGGCACTGAGACTGCCCAGAAAAAAAAAAGGGAAACCACACCGTTTGTAAAGTAAAACTCTGTACAGCGCACTCTTCGCAAAAGTTTAGCTGACATAAAAAAAGAACAATAATATACATACTATATACACCCAAAAGCTTTATTGCTGCAAAGCCAACCGCACTGCATGTAACGCATGCGATTTTTAGTGTAGTCACTGCAAAGTTCAGGATATCAGGAAAAGGAAAAAGAGA